GTATTCGCGAATAAAGGTTGTCGCAAACTGTCGCACGCTTTCCTTGAGACGTTTTCCACTTTAATAAGTATTTGGCCAACATGCAAGAACATGCATAGAATCTGACACAGTTGATCTTTTATTTTCCTATCAAAGTTAGTTAGTTTTAGACGTTGTCCCACCTTTTTAAGCCCTCCCCCCTCTGGATTCTTGATCTCCCTCCTGATAAATATTGCGCAGTCCCTAAATTAATTTTTGTTAAATACAATGTTTATCAGCTTTATTGAACTACTTGAGCAAGCTTTATAAAAGATTCTTGAGAAATAATTGTGTTTGTTTAATGAGTGTAACGATAAAAAAAAGGCAAATCAAAAAATAGGGTAACTTAGGGTAACAATCACTGAAACACAATAAGCAATTCATAACAAGAGAAATCAATTAGCAATCAAGTGCATTACACTAATGTAATCAATGACTATGTGGCTTTTAGGTGCAGTTCGTATCCGGTCAACAATGGTCGATTCCAATCTTGGTCGTTTTCTACTTCCCAACAAATTCTAGCCCCGTAGACAACGAACGTAACTATGACATCGACGAATTCGATGGCAATARGGGCGGCGCAGACGATAGCAGTGACGACGCCAGCCGCATATAWRCCTACGGCCATAGCGGCGGCAAACTCTCCGCCTCCTGCAATACAGACGGCGGCAAATCCTAACATAMCGGCAGTGATTCACTCTCCAACATCGCCTACAAAGCCAGTGGTAACTGAAACAGCATCTTCTAAGTTTGCGGTTTATGCGACGGCAACGTCCTCTTTTCACCCATCTGCATCTACGTCTTCTTAATGGATCTTAATGGGAAATGAATTTAATATGAGTTACTACACATTTACAAGCTGCATTCACTATGTATGGCACAAAATTTTTGAATCCCCCCAAAATCTCAGCGGTAATTTYCATATCCTCCCTAAATATGTCCGACCAAAAATAAAAAGAACAAATGGGAAAATTTAATGAGTAAACGAGTGATTTTATGTTTATCTTTAATCTTAAGACTAGATTTCATCTTGAAGCACTGAAATACCCAAGTAGTCTCAATGTATTTTTTGGTCATGTTCTTGTACTAGTCCAGCATGCAATACTTTAAGTTTATGGGAAATTTTGAAATTATAGAGTGTGATGAATATACTTCTTATGAAATAAAGATCTCACCGTTTTGTTCAGCAGGGTTTTCTTCACTTTCTGCCAAGTCAGTCTCGGGTTCACCTGTTATCAAAACAACATTTGTCAGTTTTTTTAAAGAAGACCATGTGGTTAAATGCTGTTTTTCAATGAAATGCTGGACAGTCTCTTTGAAATCTATCTCTTTGGGCCTAGTTTTTTGGTATAGGAGTTTTTTAGGAACAATAATAGCGCTGTCGATAAGGGATTCTATTCTCACCATAAGTTTTGGTGTATAACAAAAGCTTTAATCAGTTGATATGCGAGCAACAGACCGATTCAATTTCTACGCAAAACATACTTCTTAGTTCACTTGAGACCTTGACAGTGTGTTATCATTTGCATGAGATAGTAATATCATTAAAAAAAAAATTCGTGCAGGTTTTACGCGACTGTTGAAGACGAAATTGAAAATATCGACCAAAATGAAAATTGTTAAGAAGCTTACTAACATGATAAAATATAGCAAACCTTCGTCACTTTCTGGATCCTCTTGATCTTCGTCAGCTTGATCATCTTCATCGTCATCATTTTGATCGTTCGGCTCATCTGTAAAAGAAAAATATTTCCCATTAGTAAAACAAATGAAACACAAACTATCGTCACAAAGTGGAGTCTTAATGTCAAATGGGCGTTGACTTGTTATCAAGAAAACACTCTTCTAATATCAAAGTTTTGATAACAAAAATTATAGATTGTTTAAGTGAAAGTGTCTTGATGGTTACCTTGAACGGCATCTGGATTTTCTTTCTCTTGCTCAGCTACTGGCTCATYTTGAGTCTCTTCCAGTGGGCTAGCAGCAGATATGAAGGCAACAAAGCCAAAGAGAAACAGCAATGTCAAAGTGAGCTTCATGATTGCAACTCAGTGACTGCACTGATTCTTTAGCTCAACACTTCTTCTTTTATGTGCTCCGTCGCAAGGTTGAGCTGTGGTCCCTGACCGTTGCTATGGACGTCACGTGKTCAGCCAGCCATTAAGTCACGTTGCATTAAAGTTGGTTAAGATGAGCAATAAATTGAACCCGAATTGCTTTAATACAGGCATCTATATTTCTAAGCATCTTACAACCAATTTTTCTTCAAATATTTAATTTATGAGAATTGCGTGCAGAGAAAGATTTACATTAAGTGCCTCTACTTCTAATTAAAATGCTTGAAAATCCGATGCCAGTCAACCATAAGATCACAATGCAAGACGAATTTGTTTGTTACAAAGTTTGTTAAAAATGATTTCCATTGAAAACAGATAATTATTGTATCGCGACCTCAAAGTGAGCGCACTGTAAACCGTGAAATTAATCCAATTTGTGCTATATAATTCAATTTGTTGAAACTTATTCACAAATTAATGGTAAAGATTAATAGTTATAAAGGATGTTCCACCTCAGTAACACAACTTTGCATTACTTATTTTCATACTCTAATATGCTTTTTATATTTTACAAAATATTGTGACCAATTTATAGCTGATACCTTGTCATTTTCAAAAAAAAAAAGAAAGATTTTCAAGATTTAAACTATTCTTATATTAAGTTTGCGTGGCGTATGAAAATTCCACTGCACTAATTACCCAACGAAGGGTGTGGATGGTTGCTCATGGAATAGTTATTACAATGAATGCACAAAGCTCTTTAATTGATAGCGCATGACTTTCGTGAATGAAAAATATATCAAAACAACGTCAACGATTCATTCAACCATTTTACCGTCCGACGGAATATTATTACTCTGAAATAGCCTTTTGCATGAAACGGTCGCATGGTAGAGTGCAAACAGTAAATGTGTGTAATATTTTACACTATTTACTACAAAATAGTGTTAATTAAACAATAGAAAACAATAGAATTAGCGTAATTTAGCAGTATTTAGTGGTATTTATGTTGCACAGTTTTAGTGTTTGTACTCTATTAAATCCGCCATAGAGGATGGTWAAATTCCGTTCAGTTCATTTCGTTTGTTTAATGAAGATAGGTGTTTATTACAGATAATTATAAACTTCTCGTACAAACATAAATTACATTTTTTTGATTTCATTATTATATGGTTGGSTTTTTTTGATTTTTTCCACGTCAGGCTGAATTTTCTGTTTTTGACTT